GATATATTCAAGTGTGTTCACAACAATATAGCAGGATAGCCGTTATATTTAACAAGTTTATTGTATTCTGTAGTATCAAATATTTGGGGATATTTGGATAGTTTTAGACAAGGTGCCGGTGTTCATTAATATAAATATTTAGGGATAAATTGATATTTCAGGATATATAACTGTTTTAAGTGATTCCAAGTATTTTGGAATAATTGGATATTTTACGCAATATAACTGTATTCCGTAATATTTAGGAATGATCATATATTGCAAACAATATAACTCGATTCAGCAGTATCAAGTATTTAGCAATAATTGGATATTTTAGGCAATTTAACTGTATACAGTAATATCAAATATTTAAGAATTATTGGATATTTAGGCAATTAAAACTGTAGGTCCTATTCCGTAATCTTTAGTAATAATTTTTCATAAATAGAAAATTTAGCTGTATTCGGTCATATCAATTATATTGGAATAGTGTGATATTTTTAGACAATAAATTTGTGTTTGGAACTATGAAACATGGATAATTTGCAGTTTAATTTTTTTTAAATAAGACTTTCTCAGAACTATCACATTTTTCGAATATTTTTTTTAAATCATCACCTTTGCGGTAAATAATAATTCAGCGCTTGATTTAATCCATTCAATCAGACGTCGAAGGCTTTTGTGTATAGTTCCAATTGTACCATCTATTTTTTTAAAAGGACAATATTACATTGGCTTGCGCCATTGTCGGTGGACTTGTAATTCCGTTACATTTTAAGTGGAACGATTTTTTCGAAATTGTGCACATAAATTGTAATTTATTTGCAACAATAAAACGAAAAAAAAATATTAATCTAATTAGATGTGTAATTACTCATTAGAAATGAATATTAAGTTTAGTAAAAGTATACACAGTAACAAACAAAGGGGAAAAAATTGTTGGTGGCGATTAATCCATTAGTCTTGTGAGCTAGTGTTTACTATCTTTTGTAGTCGAAGTATCAACAGTAAGGGGCAGATAATTTTCGCTTACAACCAATAGGCAGATAATTTTCGCTTACAACCAATGGGCAGATAATTTTTCTTTAAAACCAATAAACTAATAATAATCCACTCAGAGCCAATGGGGAAATAATATTGGTTTAGAATTAAGACCAGCGCTAAATATAAAGCAGATTATAGTCGTTTAGCATCAGCCTATCATAAACTACGTATCTCGTTTAAATAAATTATTTTTATGACTTTCCACATTACTTGAGTCGTTCTGAGGGATTTGCGAGCGAGATATTAATGATTTTAAAAAGTAGGCTATGTGTAATTTTGTAAAAACCCATGTTGTCATACAATCGTAATTGATTGAATTTTTCCTTTTCCTATGTATCAATTTAGTACAAATAATTTAGATCTATTTTGGGTAATTAATACTTCCGGTTTACTAAACGCCCCTCCCCACCCACACATACATGGTAACAAAAGCCGACCCCACGCACCCACCCCACTTAATAACAAAAGTCGCCGCCACCCGTCACCTATTATCAAACGCTACTCCACGCCCCACCTATTACCATATGCCACCCCCGCACCCCACCCCCACCTATTACCAAACGCCCCCCACGCCCCCACCCCACCTATTACCAAACACCCCCCACGCCCCCACCCCCACCTATTACTAAACGCCCCCCACGCCCCCACCCCACCTATTACCAAACACCCCCACGCCCCCACCCCCACCTATTACCAAACGCCCCCCCACCCCACCCCCACCTATTACCAAACGCCCCCCACGCCCACACCCCACCTAATTACAAAATCTACCCCACGCCCCACCCTCACCTATTATCAAATGCCCCTACGCCCCCACTTCCACCTATTACCAAAACACCACTCCACACCACTCCACACCTCTACCCCTACCTATTACCCCTCCACATATCAACAAACGCCTTCCCCACGGCCCCAGCCCACCTAATAACAAAATCTACCTCACTCCCCACCCTCACCTATTATCAAACGCCCCCCACGCCCCCACCCCCACTTATTACCAAAACACCACCCCACGCCCCACCCTCACCTATTACCAAACGCCCCACCCCCACCTATTACCAAACGCCCCCCACGCCCCCACCCCCACCTATTACCAAAACACCACCCCACGCCCCACCCCCACCTATTACCAAAACACCACCCCACGCCCCACCCCCACCTATTACCAAAACACCACCCCTCCACACATCTCTTATCATGCCCACGCTCCAGCCTAACCCTAACTAAGGGCCGCGAAGATCCGAACATCAAACCACTCCACGGCGCACTCCACAACACTTGCGATAGGCCACACTCCCTGCTCATTATCATATGACTGTCACGTGACCACAGCACGCCGCGTTTCACCCACGGTGATAAACAATCTCGGTGCTTTCCGTTAGGGGGTGCCAGACAGTGCTCTGTGTCTAGCAGATGGACACATTTACAGTGACACACATTCAAATTGTGACAATTCACAGTGTGACACATTCAAATTGTGAAATATTTAAATTGTGACACATTCATAATGTGACACATTTATTCTGTGACACATTCAAATTGTGACTATTCACAGTGTGACACATACACAGTGTGACACATTCCAAGTGTCACACATTCACAGTGTCACACATTCACAATGTCACACATTCACAGTGTCACACATTTACAGTGTGACACTCACATTGTGACACATTCACAGTGTGACACATTCACACTGTGAAAAATTCACACTGACACATTCACATTGTGACACATTCACACTGTCACACATTCACATTTGTTGCACATTCATGCGGTCACATTCACACTGTCACACATTCACATTTGTTGCACATTCATACGGTCACATTCACACATTCACACTGTCACATATTCACAGTGTGACACATTCACAGTGTCACACATTCACATTGTGACACATTCACACTGTCACATATTCGCAGTGTGACACATTCACAGTATCACACATTCATACTGTGACACATTCACACTGTGAATATTCACACTGTCTTATTTAGCATTAAGGAATAATCAATATAGTGGAGGCGATAGGCGGTGGGCCTTAACTTCGTTGACTTACTCTTAACACTGTAGATACAAAACTCTTTTCCTAACGTGAGTCAAGTACCCCTTAGAGCTGGGTTGACTCAGGGACGAACTACGAACTTTAGCCCGGATTGGATTTCCAGACTTCCAGTTTGGCAGTCGCATGCTCTACCATTCGACCCTGCCGTCTATTTTACACGTTTTACAGTAGGCCCAAATAAAAAACTCAATGAAAAATTTTGTTTTAAATTTTTTAAATTAATTTTTTTTTAAAGTCTATTTCTATTTGCTGAATAATTTGCTTCAAAGTGTGACATATTTTGAGGGTCACTCATATTATGTTGGTTTTAGTACGTATATGTTGAGTAAAGGATACTTCATGTAATATCATAAACAAAGTTTCTTTCAGACTTTTTTCTTCGGGGGGGGGGGGCGTCGGTCACTTGAAATTTTCATGGAGGGGATGGAGCGGACACTGGTAAAAATATATCTTTTCTACATGTTATATTTCGTTCGGGAAGAAGGGGGGGGGCGGTAAACGTTCATCGGAGAGAAGGGGGGCGCCTGAAGAGATGCCTGGAAGAAACTCTGATAATAAAAACAGCTTTAAATTAGCAGACAAACTATTCTTAGAGATAAGTATTGTCAACCCGTTACCTTTTCATCAAAAGTTCATGTCAATTGAAATGTCCGGAGTAAGTACAGCACGAAGTCGTCGAAAAGCTGTCGAAGCAGTTTAAAAACAAACGTAATCTCAGCAGTATGATTTTTAAAAGTCTGTCTTGTAGCTAGTAAGATAAGGATTTCAAACAATTCTACTAGTCCAGCGCTGTTTGGCTAAGTGTGGCTGGAATTGGCTAAGTTTTGCAAGCATTGGCTAAGTGGGGCCTTGCATTGGCTAAGTATGCCTAAGCTAGGATGGCTAGTTGTGTCCGATTTAGGTTGGTCTGGCCTAAAGTTGGCTAAGTGTGTAGTACCTACTGTAATAGTTCTTGAAAAGACGGCTATAATTTTATGCATAGCTGTTCATCCCTTATTCAATCGTTTTTTTTAAGTCCTTGAAACCGGCCTGGAAATGCAAACATGTTAGATAAGACTTGATATGTATTAGGCACATACACATAAATATGTCCAGAATGTTACTAACCTTATAATAGTCTTAATGGTTATAAACATATCTATATCTAAAAAAAAATATTTTATAATTTAACTCAATTATATTTTTACTTTCATAAGGAAATGATTTTCCCCTAATTATTATATCTTTTTATAAGACATAATTGTGTTGCTTAAAATGTTAAAGGAGATTTTAATTTTAAGCTAAGTTCCCTTTTCAAACCTAATGGTCCATGTGTCAAGTGAAGTAGAGTTAACCTGTTTCTGTAACCTTGGTGTAGTCAGCACTATGCTCAGCCGCCTTTACCCTCCTTAACGTGAGTTAGGTACCCATCAGAGCTGGGTGGACTCAGTAACGTTCTACTTATTTGAACCCGGATTCGAACTCGAGACTTATGGGTTAGTATTGTAGCGGTTATTTATAAAAAAAAAAAAATTATTCCATTATTTTATATTTTTTTTTGTTACTATCAAATGTGGTTAGTTTTTCTTTTTCTAATCTATTGTTTTTATTTTCAGTATCAAGAGACATTTGCAATTACCGCCTAGAATCTATGTGTACTTTGAGTTTTTTTAAGTATATGGACATAAATCCGACCATATGTTTTAAGTGATTACAAAGTGACGCTAAATAATGACCATGGCAATCATGCATCATATGCACGCCTAACACTCCTGGAATTTATCCATCAAACGGATTTCTGACTAAATGTGCCATAATGGAGACGAATAAACAAGTTCCAATATTGGAATAAATAAATAAAATAAAATTGTACATAGTTCTGTGTAAAATAAATACGGGTATTTTCTTGTAGCAAATAATGAACAAAATGGCTGAATTTTTTTGGCTTCCGGTTTGTGTTTTAGTCGTATGCGCGGCAGTGCCTTTAGACAAACGAGGCATCGTGGGAACTAACAAGACTCATTTATTAGGAAAAGAGGAACTACCAGTCGAACTTTTCAACATTCATAGCGATAAAAGTCAACTAGAGTATTTAGAAGCTTCATCGGCGCCATTTCTGAATTCAAGAAAAAATCGTGCGCATGGGCAAGACAACGAGAAGTTACCGGTCCAGTTTGCCGGAAGTTTGAAAAACTTTAGCGAGATGAGCAAGAGCACACGAAAACTACACAGTCATGTGCATACCGTTTTCCAGCAGTTTAAAAACAAGAGCGTTGATTTTCACTCCAAGTCGTTTATTTCTGAAATGAAAGCGTTTCTATCGGAAAAACAATATATGTATAGCGGTGTTTATCCCGTAGAAGGAGCGACCAAATCTAACTACCGTCTTTACGTGAAGGGGAAAAAATCTGGACACGTTGATATAGAGCGCGTGACGTCACCGAGAAAAATAAACAAACAAACTCCACAAAAACAATCGGGGAATTCCACCACAGTGGAGGCGGTGTCAGTAGAATCTTTGGGGGAGGTGGATAAATCTGAGGAAGTCGTGACGTCATGCCAACACGTGCTCGGCTACCACGACATCCGGTGGCTCTCCATGGTGGTCGACTGCCCTTCCGGTTGGCCGGACGATCACGTGAGCCGCCAGTGCGAGGCGTGGAAAGACCTGACCATGACGTCACTGGATATCGTCCCGCTGCTTCCGGTTCAAAACGAAACCGGAACGGTGTTCGCCAACGTCTTCTGCGCCATGTGCCACAAGGTCGAGGTTATCCTGCCCTGGACGACCAAGTTCATCTGCGAGACTTTACAAGCGTCCAGTTTCATTGCAGTCCAATCCCTGGCTAACATTTCCTTCCTCAACACCTTCTTGAAGTCCTCCCAATGCACCAAGGCCGTCGTGCCCTCGCTGCCGGAAGCGATCGCGCCGTGCAAGGTGCACTCCGCGGAGAAATTCTTCAGCACGCGCCGGTGCACCACGGCATCCTGCGACACCAGTACTTCGGATTTTCCCGTTTCTTTTAACGTCCTCATGAATTTTGATTTCACGGGCGACACACACCTGCTGTTTAGCGCCGCCCCCAAAGTGCTACAGGAGTACGTGCCTAGGTGAGTAGTCGTTGTACCTCGCTTGCATATATATATATATATATATATATATATATATATATATATATATATATATATATATATATTGTAAATTCTATTATGTAAAGTTCTATTTTGTTTTTGTTAAGATAGTCTACTTTGTGTGTGCGTTATTCTATTTCAGTACTTTTCTTTAGATATGACCTCTATTATATGTTCAGTAAATTATTCTATTGGCGATTTTCTTAATTCTATTTTAATTGTTTTAAGTTCTATTTTCAGAGTTTTAAATATTTTCGAAATTTTAAGTTCTATATTTCTATTTAAATTACTTATTTTGGTTTATAGTTCTGCTTTCTCTGTTTTAAATGATGTTTTCTGTTTACGGTTCTATTTTCCATTTTGTATTTTTTGTGTTCTAGCTCCTATGTTATTTTTCTATATTCTACTTTCCATTCTATTTTTTAGATTTCTTAAAAATGTTTTTTTTTTTATCTTTTATATTCCTTTTTCTGTTCTGTTTTAAATTTATTTTACTTTATTTTTCTATGTTCTACTTTCACTGTTTTAATTTCTATGTTCTACATTCAATGTTCTATTTTCTATGATCTACTTTCAATGTATGTTCTACTCTCAATGTTCTACTTTCTATGTTCAAATTTCTATGTTCTACTTTCTATGTTCTACTTTCAATGTTCTACTTTCTATGTTCTACTTTCTATGTTCAACTTTCTATGTTCTACTTTCTATGTTCCATTTTCTATGTTCTACTTTCAATGTTGTACTTTCTATGTTCTATGTTCTATGTTCTACTTTCTATGTTCTACCTTCTACTTTCTATGTTCTACTTTCAATGTTCTACTTTCTATGTTCTACTTTCTATGTTCTACTTTCTACTTTCTATGTTCTACTTTCTACTTTCTATGTTCCATATTCTGCAGATGTCGAGAATGGGAGACCTATGACCTCTACAGTCAGACCTGTCGTCCCATCAGTAGCAAGACCTTCACCTCACCAACAGAGGTAAGACCTAATCTAAACACTTCCTAATCACTTACTTTGCGCAATCAATAAGCGATTATATTAGTAGTTGCAGTCTTGAAAATTTGAATACAATTAGACAGAAATGATTAAAACTCGAGTTGCTAAATAGATCACAACAATCACCCACTCAATGAAAAGACAAACAAATGGACAGCTTGACATATGAAAACTTGTAAAAATAACACTCAAAGAAAACATAAAGGAATGTAAAATACCTCATACTAAATAAAATAAATGTTTATAACATATAGACCTACATAGATCTGATTTAACCCGTGATCTTTATTTTTTTTAAAAACTGATCTATATTTACATAAAACCCCCGATCTATATTCAAATAATATGGGAGAGTGGCCTAGCGGTAGAGCTCTAGACTGCAAGCCCGAAACTCTCGAGTTCGAATCCGAGTTCAAGTCAATAGAATATCCCTGCGTTTACCCAGCTCTGATGAGTACCTAACTCACTACCTAACTGGGCATAGTACTGACCACACTATCCCTTCATGTGCCGAGGTCTCTGAAGCAGATGAACTCTACTTCATCCACCCCATGTGTCGAGAAAACGGGAAAATATGATCATATTAAAAAATATTCCGAATGTAAAATGTATTGAAAAGTAAACAAACATTTTACTGGAGCAAATACAAACCATCATAACAATTGTGCAACGAACGTCTAAAAGACAACAGTAGTTAAATACTTGGATTAAATAGAATTACACGGATTATTGTTCATTTTACTTTCTCTAGAACATCCACACAATCGAACAGCTAAGAAATGTCGGCCAGACGGCTTTAGTATCTCTACAGCTAAACATCAACTTTGGAGACTATTTGTACCTGCTGTTTCAAGACATGGACAGCATCTTAGAGAAGCAGGTGGCAGGTGAGAACAGGTGTCAGGTGTTTTGTTGTAAACAGGTGTTAGGTGTTTTGTTGTGAACAGTAGGGTTCAGGTGTTTTGGTTATGGACAGGTGGGTTCAGGTCAAAGATAATGTAATATTTAGTTTAACAGTTTATTAACCATAAGTGTAGTGTTTTGCTAACAAAAATGTACGAATAAAATCGCTTAGTTTAGGTAGAGAACCACTCAGGTGTAATGTTTAGTGTTAGAAACAGGGAGCCATAGGAATATGTGTAATGTTTTTGGTCAAAAGCAGGCGGCATAATGTTGTGTTTAGGTAAACTTAAGTGTACTGTTTTGTTAAATAAAAAATTTGGAATGAATTTGCTTAGCTTAGATAGAGAAATAAGAGGTGGGGTCTTTGTTATGCACGTTAAAAATGTGATTTCGGACAGAGTCTCTTACAGGCATCTCTTCGTGTGGGGGGGGGGGGGGGGGGGGGCAAAAGTCTACCGCCCCCCCCCCCCCCCGAACGAATGGAATTTATATAGAAAACATACATTTACCAGTGTCCGCTCCCTCGGAAAATGTCCGCCGCCCCCAGCTCCCCGAAAATATCAAGTGCCCCCACGGAGAAACAAGTTAATAAAAAGTCTAGTGACAATTTAAGCGCAATTTCCTTAATTAATTTTTTGTGACCAAACGAAAGGATATTTTTGAAAACTTTCTTCGGTAATATTGTTCTAAATTATGGCAGGAATCGATTGGTAAATGTTTCAAGTCGCTAAGTGGTCTGGTTGCCGAGATATGGGCCAAAAACTGCATTTTTTCGAGGTATTTTGGCTTTTCCGGGAAATCCAGGAAGGAGTTCCGGGAATGTTTTTGGCCCACAATCATCCTCGGAACTTGCTTAATATATTTGCTTTTGGAACTAGTCCTCGATATTGCTTCGTTGAGGAGGAGATACGACTTAAAGCTGCGGACACACATCCATCCATCCATCCATCCATCCATCCATCCATCCATCCATCCGTCCGTCCCTCCGTCCGTCCGTCCGTCCGTCCGTCCGTCCGTCCGTCCATCCATCCATCCATCCATCCATCCATCCATCCATCTATCCATCCATCCATCCATCCATCCAGAAATAACGAATTAATAATCGCAATTGTCAGTATTGAAATTGCGCTAAAAAGTCTGGAAGTAACACTGATTTCGGAGTGTAAGTGTTCGAAAAAAAGCTTATATAATTGCTTAAATCATATCTGCATACCAAATTTGATTTACGATCCGTGTTTCTTTCAGGCATCTCTTCGAGGTACTGCCCCAGCCACAAACGAAATAGATTTTATATAGAAAATATATAGAAAATATATACTTTTATTAGTGTCAATATCGTTCCCCCCCTGGAGAATGTTGTTCGCCCCCCACCCAAATGTTTCAAGGGCCCCCTCCCCCCAGGAGGAAAAATCTGAAAAAAACACTGGTTGCGACTGAATAGAAACGTAAATTTAAATTAACATTTTAAATTTCAATTTGCAGACAATCTGAACATCAGCGTTGACCGCATCAAGGACGTCAACGTGACCTTCGAAGTCGGGTCATCCAACGACCTTCAACTCAAGGTCACGACCTTGACAGACGAGCAGTACGACCAGCTGTTCCCGCCCTTGGTCGACGAGCAGGGGGCGACGACTCATCCGCCGCCAGACCCGATAACTCGTCCACCCAAGGGATATAACCGAGTAAATTCTCTCAAAAACGGGGCTGTTCCTAACATTGGTGATAAAAGCTCAACGAAAGATAAAGATTCGAATAGGACTGTTAACAAACAACATGCGTCTAACAACGCTGATAATAAAACACCCGGCAATAATAGAGATAACCATGAACCCAAAGTGGACCTTGTCTTCATGTTGAAAAACATCACCGCTCAGCTTCGCGCCATTGATGAGGACATTAAAAAATACAACAACAGCCAGCTCACGCCTCAAACTATAGGCGCCATCAAAGCGCTTAGGTACGCTTTCAGACGACAGAAAACGCTAATGAAATACCTACAGTTTGCCTACAAAGGTGATTTCAATTCAACGGGGCGCTACGGGCTTAAAAGTTTCCGAAAAATGTATCATAAACCTCCGCGTCAGCAGAACGTGACGCATCTTTTAAACGGATTGGACGCTGCTTACGTCACAGAAAACGGTACGACTTTTTTGTACGTCACAGAGCCAGTCAACAACAGAAGTGACCGGATTATGATCCAGGCGCATGACCTTGCGACCGCCGCCCTCATGACCGGGGTCGAGGTCGTGAACTACTTGTTGAACCAGAGCTTGACCATGCGCGTGAAGTTCGTGCTCGTCCCGCCCCACGACTCGCACGAGCTGGGTACTCACACCCTCCTGCAGAAAATCAACGAGATGATTGATGACAAGACCTTCTCGATCAAGGTCAACGGAAACAACATTGACGTCATCAGCGGAAACGACACGAACGATCCGGTGGCGGATGCGTCGAGTTTCTGCCGCTGGGGGATCGAGTACATGGTGTACGACGACGACTTCACCATGTTAGAGACCAACAACACCACCATGTTGTACATCAACAAAACAAACTCCTACATCGGCGTCGGGTTGTTCGACCTCTTCATCATGCTCACCGGAAGTCAAAACTCGGAGCAGACGAATTTAACGGATTTATCCAAATACGCATTCGTCTGCTTCATGCCACGAATCGTGAATTCAAATTGCTCAAGGATTGAAATAGATCGAAGCGAATATACAATCGAACTAACGAATCGATCGATTATCTTTGAAGAGAAAATGTACGACGTGTTTTCTTATGTGGTGGTGAATGAAACAACTGGGAAAATCGCAATATGCGTTCCGGAGTCGTTTGCAAACCAGCAGACGTTTCTACCGCGGACGGTTACAGTGTACGGCGGGTGTAGTCACGACTTTGATAAGGCTTTAGAGGCGGAGGGATATCTAACAATGGTGCTGGGCCGTCTTTCGATTTTCTGCCTCGCTTGTGTTTTAGTGACGTACTGCCTGTTCCCGAAGTTACGTAACCTTCCAGGGGTCAACACCATGAACTTGACCTTAGCTCTCCTAGCCGCGGAGATTATTTTCGCAGAAGGTATCGCCGTGAAGACGGATTGGCTATGCTCGGCTGTGGCCGTTAGCCTGCATTACTTTTTCTTAGCGGCTCATTTTTGGATGAACGTGACGAGCTATGACGTTTACAAAACATTCGCAAACAGGATGTACATCACGCTTGTGCGAGACAAGCAACGTTACGTGCCTCGCTACGCCATCTTCGCCTGGGGATTCCCGTTTGTTATTGTGTCTGTCTGCGTGTTTCTCGAGTTCTCTAATTTACTTGATGACGTGTCTATAGGGTACGGCAGCGTTCGGGAAAAGCAGAAAAACCTCAGTGATTTTGAGTACGTCGATACAGAATTCGGCACCTACCCGATCAAATCTATTCTAAACATGACAGGAGACATGAAAGTAGGTCAGTCACAAAATGGCGTCTGTTGGATCAACCAGCCCTTAGCGGCATTCCTGGCTTTCGGAGCCCCCATCCTTATTATATTCTTCACAAATTCGATATTTTTTGCTAAAACAATACTAGGTATCTCGCGAATTTCTCGCATGACCAAACGGAGCCTCAGCTCCCGCCATTCTAATTCCTCTGCGCAGAAGCTTTCTGCGCGCTCTGACGTCATGCTTTATCTGCGCATGTCCACGGTGATGGGTTTCACTTGGATATTCGGCCTTAGTTCGTCCATCGTCAGTTCTTTCGCCAAGCCAGTGACGTATGAACTATGCGTGGTAACTCATATACTGGCTATATTGTTCACAATTTTCAACGCTTCACAAGGGGCGTTTATTTTCTTTGCTTTTGTCTTCAATCGAAGAGTTTTCGCCCTTTACTGTGGGTTGTTCTTCAGAATCAAACGATTTATACTTCGTGAAGATCCGAGTGAAAGGCTATCTTCTGTATCCACTGTGGGTTCAAGAAACAATCTGTACGCCTATAATAACCGATAACTCTTGCAACCAGTTGTAACCTAATCAAATACACGGTTATCGCCCTTAGACCACTTTCAAAATAAACAAGTTTTGGTGCTGTGATTTTCTGCAGGAAAAAATGCAACCAAAAAGAAAAAAGTCTCGGAGTTGACATTCCAAAATCTGAGTGAAATGGCATTTAAGTTGTGTTGACAAGAGAAAAAATTCCACTGATATAGCACAACTTCTGTACTTTATAATGAGAAACTGTTAAATATGTAATTTGAATGTTTTCCTAAGGTTAAGGTTTTCATCATCATTGAATGTTCAAAATATTAATTACTCTTTCGTTGTATTATCTTACCCTCCAATAAAAAAAAGATCCATGTACAGTAACATTCTAATAGCATCAGAAATAACCCATGTATACATTGGGGGGGGGGGGGGTGAACTATCAATTATTCACCCCACTCCCTCACCATTTATATATAATCATGATAGCGAAAACCATCCCTCCCCCTCCGGGAAGGTTGGGTAAGCTTTTTATTATCACTGTCATTTAACAGTTTTTAAGTTTGTGTCAAACTATTGATATAGAAAAATATTTAAGTCTCTATGTAAAGCAGTCTATTCCTTTAAGTTACCTTAGTAATGTAGCTCAGAATAAGCTTTTTATTTCTACCCTGATCTGCCTCCCATAATTTCTCAGATAGGTTTAATGCATTATTCATTGCAGTTTTAAGGGAATATGTAGGCCTACTTTAAACAAAGATAGAAACTGAAGTGCTTTAAAAATAGGTAATTAATAAATTACTAAGCCCCTTTACTGAAAAATAAACAGTAGGCTTAAAATTAATATAATATTTTACTTAACATTTCTTTGAGTGGAGTTTGTTTCTGTTACCCAAGCAGAAGAAGAGATAGTATGGCCATCTGTCTTTACTTTCCCTAATGTGAGTCAGGTACCCATTACAGCTGGATGAACTCAAGGAAGTCCTACTGATTAGAACAAGACTTTACATGTGTAGCAGTTGTATGCTCTACCATCCAACAAAGTACATGGTGAGATAATAGTTTCATAAACTATCAGTAAGTGTTACTCTATATATTGAGTCCGATCACCATTCATTGATTGAGGTAGGCTACTCAATGGATAATACGACTTATTTCAAACTTATTTATTATCTAAGAAAGGTAAAGCTGTAAAAGCCATAAAGCAGACAAGTAGATTTAAAATGAAAACAGAAGATTGTACAATTTAAGAAATATTTAATAAAACAGAAACAAATGGATTTAGTTTTCAGTAATTAATGGTCTTTATATAAATAATTGTGGACAACATTCATGTATTTAAAAAAATAAAATCTAACATAAAACACTAAAAATGTTTCTGGTCCCTACGTCTATTCCTTCTTGTCTTTAATTTCGTCCTTGTAATGTAAAAAGACAAGGCTGAGCAAGAAGACGCCCACCATCATTGAAAATGCACTGGCGTAGTAGGGGTAAGCTGAAAGTATAAACCTCTCATACTGTGTGTGCTCTAATGGTCGCACAGACACCTGAAATTAAACAATCACATTTTTGAAAATATATAACGACAACTATGCTCGTCTGATAATAAACAAATCTAATAAAACCATAGCAATATAGTATTTAAATTCTTTTATTAATGATTTTAGTCAGTGCCAAGTCTAAGAGGCTTGGAAGAAAAAAGTACTTTATCAAGACAATATTATACAACAACACAAACCTGTGTAGCACTGTAGAGCCGGGTGTACCCCACCCTGTTGTAGTCTACCTTGAACTGGTACACACCATAGACATCAGGCAGCTTGAAGTTGGTGCTAAAGATTCCACCTAGTTACAAAAGAAGATGTGCAACAAATGGTTACAAAAAAAATGAAAAAAAAAAACCCTACAATTTTTCAAACAATACAAAACAAAGTAACCTTCCACCTTATTCATTTTGAGCTAGTAAAAATACAGGAAGTGGTTTAGATTTTAGTTTCTTAATACATTTTTTATTATTAATTTCTCATTATTTATTTACACAATCACACATGCACAAAAAGAATTTTTCTAAAAATGAAAATGTTTTTCTCTGTGTTTGAAAATGTTTACACCCAAAATTACCCAAGAGACTGTCTGTTTACTTATGGCATAAACCATTGAACATTAGGTGCTTAAAAACAAACTAAATAAAGACGATTAACAAGAGTATTAAGAGACAATATAGGAATGGCATGGACTACAATGGAGCTATAGATTGCTAAGCTAAACATCACAAGTTGGATCCCAAACTCTAGTCTTTGGGACACCCTTCAGCCCATCAAGCTTTTATGGGTACCTGAAAAGGCAGCTGGGCAGTGTTGAGGTAATTTTAAAACAAATTAACTGATGAACATGACACTTTGCAGCTAAACCCATAGTATTGAATCACAAAAACAAAAACGATTTAAAAATTAGTTATAAGATACAATGATAAGAATATAAATGTGTACAAACTTTTGGGTTTCAGGGTTGTGCGAACAAATGGATCAATGCGAACAAACTCAAGTTGAACATCATCAGCCTTGAATGGCTCCCACTTGCCATTGTTCAGTTCTTCAATCACAATGGAATATTCCTAATAGGGAAGTTGCAAGAAAACTCATTATCATAGTCAAATGAATTTTATAACTAACATAAAGTTAGAAATAAAATAATAATTCTACTCTTAAACAGAAGAGTAAAAAGTGCACAAATGGCTTTTAATTACTGAACTAGTGAGTAAAATGAACATTTTTTTCTACACTAACCAAACTGCTGTATAATAAAAGTACACTAACCACTTGCTGCATGACAGTGTAGGACTGGGGTGGTGTTTTCTCTCCCTCTAGGTGGTGAGCAACTTTACCAACTCTAAGAACACCCTTGTCCTTGAAGGCCCAACGTGCAAGGTTAAGAGCTAAAGCCTCATTCCCAGACTTCTCAAACCTGTTGATTATTTTTATTTAGGAATTCACTAAATAATTTACAAAAGTGAACAGACTGGAGCTAAGTTTATAAAAAAAACCACATAACCTACTAAATGACCTGCCTCTACACAAGTAATGTCTGCTACTACACTTACTTCTTGCCCCCACTGGACTTCTGAACACTAGCCTGGAAGAACTCATCACTGAAGAAGTCCAGGGAACCAACAAAGACAACTCTGGCATTGTTGCGAGCTTGAAGAGCAGCTACCAGCAGTGTGCTACTGCCTACAGCCATAGGGAACTGATAATGAAGATTTTTTCAAAATGTTTATAGTCAGTTAATAGTAATTAGAAATCCATATTCAAGCAATATTCATTGAAGTAGTCTATGTAAGATTTTAAATTGTCATGATATAAAGGCTATTAGTTTATTTTTAATAAATAACTAAGTAACAGTAACTTATGACTTAATTACTTGAGCAAAAAATTGCTAGCACTACCAATACAAATACAGCTCAATGAGACAAGAGATTATTATGAGAGAAAAAACAAAATATGAGATGCTTACCTCATCAATTTTCTCATTGGGTTTGTAAGAGTAAGCTGTTGAGGAAGCTCTCAGTAAACTCAATACCAGAGGATTGTCAGGGTCACTCACCATCCTAAAATAGAAAGCAATCACTGGTTTAAAAAGTAAACTTTTGTCTATTTAATAACGTAATGAATGTCTTTTTAAACATTTTTTTTTTAAAACATGATTAATTTTTAAGTTTATACTTTTTAAATGTATCTAACTGCAGCTACCCTTATTATTGTTCTGAAAAACTTACCCTACACCTCTAAACAAGAAAGGAGATGTGTTCTTTTCTCCAACAATCATAGGAGCTTTCATCAGGTTCTCAGGGTCAGCTACAATCAGTGTGTGCTGCAAATTAAAATTAAACAAAACTTAGATGAACTCCTGTGGTTACATACAGTTATTATATTAGAACAGAATTGTAAATTAAACACTTTTAAACCACGCATGCCTGAATTTACATATAGATTCTGTGTTATAATTATTAGAACATAATAATTTCAACAGCTCTAAAATAAATATATCTTTTGCTAAGCTGTTAAACTGACTTAGCATTAACAGAAATTTATATTTATTAACGTTATATATTCTTTCATATGTAAATATACCTTTTTATTATTAAATTTATTTTTAATTTAAGTTTAGAAACAAAAATAGTGATGATAGAGCAATTTTTAATTTTTGTTTTCTCAAACTGTTATATTTGATAAAGGATAGACACCACTATCCTTACCTTCCCACCATCATTAACATCATAGTTCAGGTGATCAATGACCGCACTGTTTTCTTCATCAAATTCAACACCACACTCAGTGGCCAATTCTCTCACAGGATCGCCTAAACAAGTGCAAAAAAAAAAAAAAAAACGTTATGTTACGGCCAGTTTACAGGTCGGGAATTATCAAATACATAAAAGAACATAAATAATTGCTCATTACATATTTTCAATTGTGACATTAAAATGAAATGTAAAATTTTACCAATGGAAGAGCTAGCAGCAATAAGGACATTTCCACCACCATCAATGAAGTTGGTTATGGCTGACACATCGATAGATCCCCCAAACTCTAAAAATTTGAAAGAGAAAAGTGACACGTTATAACTAAGCAATAGAAATGAATACATTAGTACTTGAAGTTGGTCCAAATTATATCCTGCCATATGAAGATTTTACATACCTTCAACAGATGGTGAAAACAGGACAAGATTGTCATACAGAAACTCTCCATATTTTACCAGAGCTAGTCCAGCATCATCAGCAGTTTTGAAGGACAAATCAAAGCCAAGATCTGTTTACAAATAAACAATAAAGGATGAAGTATAATACACATATATATAATGATAAAGCTTATCATATTAATATTAAATACTATAATAAAAATGATAGAATATACAGGGTTCATGCTCAAAAGTTCAAATAAAATTCCAGGAGTTTTCCAGGACTTTTCCAGGAGTTTAAAAAAAAATTCAAGGAGATTTTAAAAACAAAAAAGAAACCCAATTTGTACATTTAAAAAAAAGGAAATAATAATACATTTAATTAGCTAAGCCAATGCAAAAATTTAATTTCAGTAAAAGTAAAACAATATATTAGTTATACACATATACACGAACCCTGAATATAAAATATGCAGGTATATAAAGTATATAGCTGGTGCTGTTTGGCTGGGGGGTGGGTGGGGGAGAAGGGGGAGGGGATAAAGGTTATGGTACAGTTCATGCTATGACTTATTATACGGGGTGGGGGGGGGGGGGAAGAGATTTGCGTAATTTTTAAGAGCAGACACAAGTTTCTCAGCACAAGTATAAGCACAAATCATAAGTTACAATCTTTGGTTTCATTTTCAAAATTGTGTACGGACCCGGGTTCTAGGATATAAATTTAGTCATCTTTTTTAAATACTATTTTTGCAATCCTTTTTACCATTTTTTAAATTAATTTCACTGGGCCTAGACTAGCAGCAAGCTAGATCTAATTAATGGACGCGAGTGAGAAAGTATTAGAGAAGCCCATTAAATAATTTAAAAATCATGCACGGCGTAGTTACAATTAATATGGTTATAAAATCCTGTCTGCATGGTTTTTTTGGACTTAACTAAAGATTAGATGTAGGCCTATTTGATGTTTTTAATATTTTCGGTAACTAGGGGCCTAAATAAAAAAAAAAAAATTAGCCTAGGTTTTCACATGAAATGGCGACATAAACAATGGCATCCTGCTATTCAATAGGCTGCCATAAATTTTATTGTACACATTGTAAGTGAAAAGAATGAAAACCAGGTCATGGGGTTTAAATTTGAATTGTTAGGCCTATTTAAAAACTTCGTCTGCAAAGTTTTGTGAACAAATAGTTATCGATCACTGAGTTCCTGTACAGCCAATCAATATTTGTCTTACGAATGTGAAACATCCGGTAACTTTATGTACTAATGTAGCTTTAAACTCAACAAATTATTTTCAAGTTCTCTGGATTTGCAACTTTTATAGCATTGATTCTAAAAATATAAAATTTCTGAATTAATTTTGGGTGTTGGGAGATTGCGAGACGCGAAAAGCGAAATGGCGAGGCGGGAAAATGCGAGACATACCTGCGGAATTAAGGGTAAATAGCGAGACACTTTTTGCGAAAAAAAAAGTTTTTTCATGCTTTTTTCATCTTTATTTAAATTATTTTTTTTGTTTTAAAATAAACAAGCATTTAGCCATACCCTTTAACACGAATGGTGTATGTTGTTATTTTTTATCTAGATTTTATTATATAGATAGATAGATACTAAGAAGATAGATAGATCTACATCTAGATCTATCTATTTAAAAATCCTAACATCGTTAGCGAGAGGAAAATCCCGTCTCAGTCGGCATTAATTTTTAAAATCTAGCCCGCTCATGTTTATACAAAAGTGAGATGTGTCATTGTCAACTGGTATAATCTTGTCAGCAGGAGAGATATTCTGCAACATGTATTCATGGATTGTTGTACTTGCAAAAAGTGTTCTAAAAAGTGTAATTTATTTTTTAATTAAGTAATTTTAATTACAAACAAAATCTTCTGAAACAGTCCTAGCACTACTCAAACACACCT